AGCGGCCGCCGGCTTGGTACCCCGCCGGCTTGGTACCCCCCCAGGGCTCCCCCCGTACCAAGCCAGCGGCTGCTTGCTTGGTGGCTTGGTACCCCCCCAGGGCCTCCCCCCCACTTCCAAGCCAGCGGCCGCCTGCTTGGTAGCCCCCCGCCAGCTTGGTACCCCCCTAGGGCACCCCCCACCAAGCCAGCGGCCGCCGGCTTGGTACCCCGCCGGCTTGGTCCCCCCCACAGGGCTTTCCCCCCTACCAAGCCAGCGGCCGCCTGCTTGGTACCCCGCCAGCTTGGTACCCCCTCAGGGCCTCCCCCCTACCAAGCTAGCGGCCGCCAGCTTGGTACCCCGCCGGCTTGGTACCCCCCCAGGGCGCCCCCGCTACCAAGCCAGCGGCCGCTTGCTTGGCCCCCAGCTCCTAACCCTTGGATTCTGGATTCAGAATTCCAGATTCAGTTCCAGATGCTCTGGATTCTGGATTTCGGATTCCACAAGATTCCAGGATTTCAAGATTCCGGATTCCGGATTCCGGATTCCGGATTCCGGATTCCGAATTCCGGATTCCGGATTTCGGATTCCCGGATTCCGGATTCCCAGATACAAAGATTCTCGCTTCCCGGATTCCAGATTCCAGATTCCGGATTCCGGATTCCCGATTCCCGGATTCCGGATTCCAGAGTCCAGATTCCGGATTCACGTTAGAGCATGTTTTTTGTTAATACCCAGGGGTTTCCTCGCCTACCAAGCCAGCGGCCGTCCCCCTCCCATGGGTTCCCAGCCAGCGGCCGCCAGATGGGTATCTGCCGGGAGCGGGCTGGGGGGGAAGGTGGAGGAGGAGGAGGAGGATATGGTGGAGGAGCAGGAGGACACTGATGAACATATCATCTGAGGAGGGGGGGACGTGAGTGGAGGCGCACTGCTCGGAACAGGAGCAGGAGAATGAAGCGGAGGAGGAGGAGGAGGAGGAGGAGGAGGAGGAGGACGAGGAGGAGGAGGAGCAGGACAAGGAAGGGGAGGAGCGGGGGGTGGAGTGAGGGACGCCAGGGGCGACGACGGCGGCCGCGGTGACTTGCCTTGTCCGCGTTCCATTGTCGGCCCACCTTGTGGTCCGAATAAGAGTCTGCTGCCTTTTCCGCTTGTGCTCACGCCCACGCTGGAGTCGCGGGAGGACTGAATAAATTCTACCATCGTCCCCATTAGCAGCAACGCGCCGCCATGTCTGCCATTGCCACTGCTGCCTCATTTTTTTCAGCTCCCCACATCTTGATTGGGCCCCCCGCTTTCAGATGTCATCCTCAGCTCCTCTTTCTCCTCCTCCAGCACCTCCCCTTCCTCGTCATTATCATCACCATCAGCGCATTCTCTTTCTCTGCCCGGGAAGGCCCCGCCAGACTGCGACAGTCATCGCGGGGAGGGATTCTGCACGGATTCGGGCCGGGCGGGAAGGCCACCATTGTCTCAACCGGCTCCTTCCCCTTTTCCCCTTGCGAGAAATGACAAGTACTTAGTGGAAGGCGGCCCCACCCCCCGCTGCGCCTGGATCGTGGAGAAGAGGCTTATTGGAAGCCTCCTGAGGTTTTTGGGGAGACCTCTCGGGGATGCTTCGGAAGGGCCTCTCGGCAGCCTCTCGGCGGAAGGCCTGCGGACGCCGGCGGGGCGAGGGAGCTTCCGGTGGCGGAAGACCGGCGGAAGTTGGCGGACGCAAAAATTGCACCCCGAAGATTTGTCATTTTTGGGGTGTCAAGGGTTTCGGAGACCCGCCATTTCGAACTGGTATAGTTGTCGGCGTTGCCGCGGACGATGTCCTTTGAGACAAGAGGTCACCTTGCCAACAACGGCCGCTGTCGGTTTTGGATAGCAGCTGCTTTTGGCAAGGCACCAATTTGTTTGTTATGCCCATCTCGGGCTTGCCAATTCTCGCCCCCAATCCGCCAGCTCCCACAAAAAAATTGCTATTCAGAAAAAATACATTCGGGGATGCCCCCCCCCAGCAGGGGGCTAGCCAGACGCACCCTGATCGAGGATGGATTGATTCACCTCCGATTTGAATCCAAGATTGGTGGTCCAGTCGGAAACCTCACAAGGTCGGGGAATCAGGGTCGCCCTACCCCGCGTTAGAGGAGGAGGAGGTGGCAGAACGATGGGAACAAAAAACAAACAGTATACTGAAGCCCATTCCCAAGGCAGCAACGATCGGAGTGTGGTCGTTCTGGTCTGCCGTATGCAAGGGTGAGCACGGAGGAGGATCGCCCAAGCCCCTTGCGCGGGATCCGAAAGCAGAGGGGGTCGGAGGGTCTCGCCGCATCGCCAGATACGTCGGCGATGCGGCTTGATCCGTCGGCCGGGGGTAGGACGAGCGTTCTGGAACGCTCTGAGACGGCCGCGGCTCCCGATACATCCCTTAGAACCGCCGGATCTCAGAGACTCCCGATGTATCTTCACCCGAATTTATCCTCGTCTTGGTTTCGTATTAGTTTCGAACCCGATGCACCAGTCCAATATGTGTTCTCGTGCCCCATTGGGGCGGCTTCCAGGGGAGGAATGTGGCTGTGCCTGTAATGTTACTGTGCGTACCTGCCCGAGGCTCTTCAGACCAAAAGCTGCGCCCGGCATGGCCGCGGTGCCTGTCGACTATTGTTGCACAGTCCTATATGCTGTCAGTTACGCAAGTTGTCATTACTGTGCAAGGCTGCCGGGGACATATTAATGTCCTGCGAAGGACAGATCAATGTCAAAGCAAGAAGCTCGGAGGAGAGAAGGTGGAGGAGGAGGGGGGGGACGAGGAGGGAGCAGGATGAGCAGGGCAGGAGGAGGGGGAGGGGATTCTGGGGGCCACGGCTCGTGGGGCCGAGGAGATTCTCAGCTAACATGTTATAGTTTGAGCGGGGCGAGTGACTTGCCAGGTTTCCACCCAGCTTCCCCAGTGAACGCGCCTTTGTAATTTACAACACTTGTCGCGCATCGCACGCAGTTGCCGTGCCTGCTGGCACCGCTGCCCCCTCACGGGGCGCCCAGGCGTACCCCAGGAGCAAGCGTGCCCCAGAGAGGGGCTCCTCGGGGGGGGGGGGGCAGGCCTCTGCGCGCGCCGCGGCTTGGAGAGCAGTAGCCTCTTCGAAGCTTCTTTTGGGGACGCAGCCAAAGAGGATCAGAAGGATGAGTAGCACGTCGTCGTTTTCTTGCTCATTGTTTTGCCGATCGGCGCAGGCCCTCGCACCCCCCCTCTCCTTCCCCAGCGAGTAGATCTTGGCTGTTTTTGGCGCCCGTTTGGAGATCCGGAGCCCCCCCCCCCTCCCCTCCTCCGCCCCCGTCCGCCAATTGTCGAAACGCCGAGCGAGAAAACGCTCACCACTCCACAGGCACCCCTGCATCCTGGCCTCTCGGGCCACCCTGGCCCTTAGAGCCGTGAGCCAGGGACCTCCGCCCTCGGCTTCTACTTGGGCGTCCGAGGGCCCTCTTGCATCCTCACCGCGCGTCCTGATGCTCCAGTCGCGTTGCACGTCCTCCCAGGGCTGGACCTGAGCGGTGTCTTGGCGATCTCGTGGGCCGTTTTCGTTTCGACTTCGTTTTGCGGTAGTGGTGGATTGGAGACAAAACGACGGGAAACGAAAACAAAACGAAAACGAAAAACACCGTTTCGGTTCAGCCCTGCGTCGCCCTGGGGGCATCGGGCGGGCCCAGGACCGGAATCCATTGCCTCAGAGCCTTCCAGGACGCCCTCAGAGCGCTCCAGAGTGCTCTGGAGCTGCCGCGGCGCCCTACACATAGTTCCTTTCTGATTTTTCGAGAGCTCTTTGATTTTTTTGCGGGCCAAGATCCTTCATTTCTAATTGTTCTGTCCTGGGCCTCTTCCTGGCCACTAGGGGGCCAGGAACAATGATATTCAAATGAGGATCATGTTGCAGATCTTTATCGCCTACATCGCCCTTCCCGCGGACCTCGACACGCACACGGGCACTCGCTGCCTTGTTTCACGGCTGCGTGCCGAGGTCCTAGACATTGCCGTTCCCCCGAAGTTGTTGGATTTTCTGCGTATCGCTACAGGAACGCAGCAGCCCCGCGGCTGCTGTTTGCCAGACGAGGAGGCCGGTGGATAGTTGGAGTCCTCATGCAGAAGCGCGGGCCGGGCAGGTCCGCCAGCCTCAGCCATGGGGGTCCTGCGCAGTGCGGCCTCGCTATTGCTCGCGCTGTCCGCGGCTGCGGAGCACCAGGGCGCCCAGGCGCCGCGATCGGCCCGCGAAGAGGAGGAGGAGGAGGAGGCGGAAGGAGGAAGGGGAGGAGGAGGAAAGGAGGAGGAGGAGGAGGAGGGGAGGAGGAGGAGGAGGAGGAGGAGGAGGAGGAGGATGGAGGAGGAGGAGGAGGAGGAGGATGATGAGAAAGATGAAGATCAGGAGGAAAAGGAGGGGGTAGGAGGAGGAGGAGGAGGAGGAGGAGGAGGAGGAGGAGGGGAGGAGGAGGAGGAGGAGGAGGAGGAGTGAGGGGAGAGAGGGAAGGGGGGGCGGTAGGGAGGGAGGGAGGGAGGTGAGGAGCGGGAGGAGGGAGGATGAGGAGGGAGGGGGGACGCAGGAGGAGAATGAGGGGGGGAGGGGGGGGGGGATGGAGAAGGACGGAGGGTGGCTGATGGAGGAGGGTGGGGGGAGGCGGGATGATGGGGGATGAGGAGGAAGTGTATTCGAGTCTCCTGAATGGTGGCTGAGGCGTTGGTGGTTGAGCCAGTGTGCAGAAGCAGTTGGACGCATGAGAATATGAGCCCGATCTTTCTGAGCACCACCTTGTACCCACAAGAGGTGGGCAGCCGGGCGGGGTTCCCGCGTGGACCGTCTGCAGAAGCGCCCAACCACCCTCGTCGTGGTCCTCTTCTTCACCCGCCTCCTCCTCCTCCTCCTCCTCCTCCTCCTCCTCCTCCAGCTCTTCATCGCCCTCGCTCCTGCTCCTGCGCCTGCCGCTCCTGCCCCACCCCTCCACCGTCGGGTTCCATTCTCGCCTCCTGCCGCCCCCCCCCCCCTCCGCAGCCAGCGTGGCTCTGGCCGCGCTGGGGCAGCGCGCCTGCTCCCGTGCAATGCCTCTCCCTTAAGAACACGTGGATGCTAAAGTCGGGCCTGTCTCTCTACAGTATGAAGATTCAAGCCTAGTCAAACATGATGTGGGGACGATTACATGTATGTAAGTAAAGTTCGAGTATTGTTGGAGTATGTTCTTGGGTATTAAAACAACTGTTCGTTCAAAATCCCCCTGTAGGGGGACAGGCCCGACCTGTTGCTAATGAGTGCGGCTTCATCTGCTGGTTTCGTTCTGAGGCACGTCGCCTTGCTCTATGCAGTGCCTGTTTGCGGCGCGTTACTGGTGGATGAACACGTGGCAGGTGGGCAGTATCCAGCTGCCTGCGGCAACTCTGCCGCAGTGCCAGCGGAGCTGTTTTGCGTGTCAACTCTTCGAGTACCGCCCGGAAGGCCGTCACATGTGGCGCCTTTGGTTTCATCTTTTGAGTAGGTCTCATGGGGCCTACTTCGGCAGTTTGTGGTCTGTCTGGGGCGCATGTGAATCACTCTTGAGGGGGTCCCATGGGGCCCTTTTGGGCTGTCTTGATGCTTTCTTGGCCGTCTTGGGGCCCTATTTGGCCTTTTTAGGGCCCTCTTGGTCGTCTGGGGGTTCCTCTTTGGCCATCGTGGGGCCGTCTTGGGGCCTTCTAGGGCTGTCTCGGGGCCTTCTGCTGTCTTTGGTCTCTCCAGAGGCCCTCTTGGGCAAGCTTGGGGCTCTCTTGGTGCCAGCACGGGCCATTTACATAGGGGCTTCCTGGACGCTCTCAATGGCCTTCTTTGGGCCGTCGGAGACTGCAAGTGCGATCTTCGACCGAAGAGGGTGGACAGCGAAGTACATTGAGGACGTACGGTAAATCAGTACTTCTGGCACCTGGTCTCTCGAGTCGAGGGCCTCCCTGGAGAGCGTCTTGGGGGTGCCTCGCGGCGTGTTGGGGGCCTCTTCTGGGCTCTTGGGTGCGTCTCGTGGCAGTGTTGGGCTACCTTGGCGGCCTTGGTGGCCTTCCTGGGCCGGTTCGACAGCCATGGGTGATGGGCCTGTTTTCCACCACCACCACCATAAGTTGGAGGGGGAGGGGGTCCTCTTCCTTCTCCTCCTCTTTTTCTTCGTCCTCCTCGTCCTCCTCGTCCTCCACCTTTCCCCCCTCCAACCTACGGTGGTGGTGGTGGACAACAGGCCCATCAATGGGCAGTCTTGGGGGAGCGCCGGGGAGGAGCGAAGCGCGTGCGCGCGGCGCCGCGCGTCGAGGCGGCGGCGATGGGGCCCTTGTCTGATGGGCCTGTTTTCCGCCACCACCACCATAAGTTGGAGGGGGGAGGGGGTCCTCCCCCTCGACTTCTTCCTCCTCCTCCATCTCCTTTCCCCGTCCACCTTATGGTTGTGGTGGTGGAAAACAGGGCCATCATTGTCGGATTTGCGCGAATGGGTCCCTTGCCAAGGGGTCTCAAATGTGTATGCGTTGGTTCGTGCAATCGTTCATGCTGGATCGTGCTGGATGCGTGCTCAGTGCGTTGCATTCGGCGTCGCTGGTCCGTGAGAGAGGCCGCGCGCCACGAGCCACAGGATGAGCTTTTGCACTTTTTTTGCTGCCCCATTGCGAAAGACCGGCTTTGCCCAGAACCACGGGGGGACCCTTGGCAGACTTACAGAAACCCTATCATACTGTAACAAAAACGGCGCAAGCATAAGCTTTCGGAGATCCGTGTGGATTTCTTGGATTGGCACTGGCGCCCCCCTGGCGGCGCCTCTGGCGCCGCCCCTGGCGCGCTCCACGCGACAGGGAAAGGGGTCCAGCGCCGATCCAAGAAATCTGCGTGGACCCCCGAGAAATCATATGTATTCCATTGTGTGTTCTTCTGCACAAGGTACTTGGCATTTGGCATGCTACCACGTGTCAACCTGCCCAGGGGGCGGATTTAGATTGCCACTGGAACACGGACACGCGGGACGAGTATGACGCGCTGTCTGATTCTTGGTCCGGCAAGGGCAGCTGGCCTTGCAGCCATCTGCCTGGCTTCATGTCGCACCACGGCGCGGAGAAGACCGTATTGTGCATTGGGGACTCTATCACAGCTGGCTCAGGCGTGAGTAAGAAGAAAGAGGCTTACCCAGTCGTCCTCCATCGGCTGCTGAACCGTGGGGGCAATGGCTACAATGTAGCCAGCCTCTCGGTTCCAGGCGCGTTTTTGCAGAAGAAACAATGGTCGAGCAGCTGGAATCTATCGCACCGCTCCATCTGGAACTTGCCACACTGGAAGGTGGCCCTGGGCGCCGCCTTCGACATTGCGGTCCTGCAGCTGGGCACAAACGACGCCCAGGACGTACTTTGGAACGAGGGGACCTTCAGGGCGGATTACGTAGAGATGATCCGGCTGTTGAAGGAGGCCCAGCCCCAGGCCAGAGGAGGATGAGGAGGATGAGGAGGAGGCGGAGGAACTGGAGTATGAGGAGGAGAAAGCGGGAACGGAGAGGAAGAGGGGGAGGAGGACCCAGGTCAGGATGCAAGACAGATGCTGCAATCCACCGTCCCATGCCAAACTCCCTCCTCATAAGTTTCTGCAAGGTTTCCTTTCCACTACGGGGCGCGCCCCCCTTTAACGACCAGTACCCCATGGGCGTGCAGTGCATGCAGACGTTCTGTCTAGAAAGCACCATCCGTATGTAATTGTTAGGAGCGTCATATGCTTGATCATCATATCGAAAGTAGTTCAAGTGTCATATCAGTCGGGCGATAGCTTCACTGTTGAAAGGCACCACCCTGCATCCGTACGTATCACTGTTGTACATGCCTTTGCTACGCAACACCAGATCGCAATCTATCCGAAGTGATGGTCCCAACTTGACGAGCAGTCGCCTTTTATTCGTGCTACTGGTGCGCAGCTCTACGTCCTTGGAGCAGTGAAACCTGAAACAGTCTTACGAGAGATCCTCAGTGTGAAGAGAAGCTGCCCTCCGTCTGGGCAATGGCTACTCCAGCGGTTAGGACGGCTGTGCGCGGCGCTCTGGCGAGAGCCACATTTGACGACCTGTGAGCCACATTTGACGACTTGTGCTACTCCGTGCAGCTGTTGTGAGTGCAATGCTTCCGCCGGAGCCATGGAGCACCGCCCATGCAACGGGGCAGTACTGAGAAATGGCAGCAGGTCTGGTATCGTAGGGCACCGACCATAAAACCACCCGTAGGGCACCGCTGCAATCACAAGAAACCGTCCATGTCAATTCTGGCTCCGTAGGGCACCCGTCATTGAGTACCACCCGTAGTGCACCATGGCCAAAATGAGAAATGACAACAGTTAAGGCGTAGTATGGTACCAACCATAGAGCATCACGCAGAGGACACCAGGGGAAGAGCGAGAAAGGACAGCCGTGAAGGCATCTTAGGGCACCAGCCAGAGAGCATTACACATGCACCATGTCATGAACTGGAATTGGCAACATTTAGTTGAAGTATCATAGGGCGCCAGCCCTAAAACACCACCCGTAGCGCATCAGGGTAATAACAAACAATTGCAATTGGTAAGGCATGGTCGGGCTCCAGCCATAGCGCATCACCCATCGTGCCCTAGGGGAAGAGCGAGAAAGGGCAACCGCCCGTTCATCATGGGGCACTAACCATAGAGCACCACCCCTGTACCACGGCATGAACCAGGAATGGTGGCAGTGAGGGTATCACTGGGCAGCAGCCGCAGAGCACCACCCGTAGCGCACCAGGACAAGAACGAACAACGACAGCAGTCAAGGCATCGTATGGCATCATCCATAGAGCATCACCCATGGGGTACTGGGGCAAGGGCGTGGAATTGCAACGGTGAAGGCGTCCGGCGGCGCAGGCCATGCATCAGAGCAAACACGAGAGATGGCAGCAGCCACGGCGGCATGTAGCACAGCCACGGAGCAGCATCCGCAGAGCAGGAGGGAATACAGGTAGCTCGCAACACTTAGAATCTAGCAGCGAGTCACATAATGGAGCATAACGCATACGACACCAGACAACATAACGAGAACACATCAATGCTAGTCCCACATCGCTACGAGACAGTTCAGGACCTTCAGTGCTAAACTGCATGGGCTGCGGAGTTGTAAGGCGACTGGTTGCCCCGTCAAGGCGAGGCCAGCATTTTGAAAGCCACGGTCTCCATCTGTGTAGCAGTTGCTGTCGTCAAAAACTACACAGTGCGCCGCGCTAAGGCGACAGCCACGTCTTGAACATGACCCGCCTTTCATCCGTGGATCTGCTGGGAATTGCGCGAAGCGCCCGCTTGAACGATGGGGCCCCGTGGGCCCGCCAGTCGGGAGGGAGCTCCGTCCTGCAAAGGAACGGCCCCCCGTCCTTTGCGCTGTACGTGGTGCGACAAGGCGGGATCATCGAGTTCAGCACATCCAGCGATGTCCCTGCTTTGAGACGGCACCGTTCTCCACAGGCGAGGGCCCGATATTGTCAGTGTAACTCTTGGATGTGTGTTGAAGTGATTGTGCGTGGCGCCGAGGCAAGAGTTCCGTTATGAAGCGATTCGCCCTCCGTCCGTGCAGCGGTCGGACGTGCCACTTTTCGATGCAGTAATCGGTGTGGACGTATCAGGCGAAACGCCCGGTGCGTTCGCGCTTGAACAGCATGTCTTTGGTGCGGCATGGAGATGTGTTTTAGACAGAACAGGAGTGGGGGATGAACAAGGGGAAGGAGGACGGGGATGATGATAGAACGTGTAGTGTTAAGTCGGTTCGTGTCCCTCTACAGGAGGAATATTCAAAAATAGTTAAAAATAGTCTGGGGCGATTTTTCTACCATGCAAAAAACAAACAACTCTTTGTGATTTGTCGCCGAAAATCCGCCTGTAGGAGGACATGCCCGACCTAAGTGTAGTGAGCAAGACGCGAGAGCGGCTGCAGGACTGGACGAGAAGGATGTGTGTGTGTGTGTGCCTGTGCGAAGACGAGGATGGAGCAGGGACAAGACTGGGAGGAATAGGACAATGAAGGAGTAGATGGATTCGTCCTCCTTCTCCTCCTCCTCCTCCTCCTCCTCCTCCTCCTCCTCCTCCTCCCCCACCGCCTCCTCCTCCACCTCCTCCTCTTCCTCCTCCTCCTTGAGGGATCTGTTCGACTCCACTCGGGCGATCGCAAACATGGATCAAGGGGGCGTGGATTTGTGGCAGGTCCCGTTTCCACGGGAAATCGCGGGTTGCCGCCGCCGGGCGAGGCGGCACCGGCCGCATTTTGGGGAGGACACCCCCTCCGATCCATGGATTTGGCGACCGCGCGCCAAGTGCATGGATCGCTGATCCATGTTTGCGCGCCCCCGAGAATAGGACTATGAAGGAGGTGCTGATGGTGCTGACTACATCAGCCTGTCGCCAGGCTGCTCGGGACTACGCCCGCAGCGCCCCCGAACCCAGAAGGATGCCACCACCAGGTTCAAAAAGGGGGCGAAGCCCATGAGTGCCCAGGCTGGCCCGCAGGCCAACCCCGAAAACCGAGGGCCAGAAGGCCCGACAAAGGCCAGGGAGCCACCAGGCCCCCCCCCAGGAACCCCCTCGGAACCAACGGGGGAGGCATCCCTCCAGGCCCACCTCAGGCCTTCGAGACTCACGAACGCCAGAGGCCTTCGCAACTCCCCACCTTGTGGTATTACGAGTCCACCTTGTCCGAGCCCGTCTTGAACGCCAACTGAATGCGCTCGAGGACGGACTGGTCGAGAAGGCCGAGCTTCACGAGCTGGTCGCCCTTCTGGGAGAGCTCGCCGAGCATGAGGGCCTGCTCCGGCTTCCCTTGGTCCCCCTGAGGCTTGGCCAGCTTGCCCCTGCCATTCTTCTTCTTCTTCTTGTTCTTCTTGCCCGTGACCTCGCTGAACGACTCAGCGTCCGAGCCGATGTAGTGCTCCTCCGCGCCCTGCCCAACGGCCTTCAGGGGCTCGCCGCTGACAGCAGGACCTGCTCCTTGCGCTTTTTCTTGAGGATGTCCCTGGCCTCCTCCTCCTCCGAGCTGTACCTCTGCTCCGCGTTGTGCTCCGTCCTGCTGCTCTTCGGCTTCTCCGATGCCATTCTCTCCTGTTCCGCCGCCCGAGCCGCCTGCCGGAAGCAATCCGCCACCTCCGTTGCCGCCGCCCGATCCTTTGCCGCCTGGAGCCGCCGCTTCAGCAGCCTTCGCCCCCACCTGGAGCAGATGAAGGTCAGCGAACTTGTCTTCTCCGTCGTCCGTGACGTCCGCCGCAGCGTCCGCCGGTGTCACCGCCACCTCCTTCGCCAGGGATTGCGCCGAGGCCCCGACCTGCATGGGAGGGGCCGCCACATCCGCCGCCGCCGCCACCGATGCCTTGACCCAGGGCCTCCTTTTGGGGAGAGGCCTCCGCTCCAAGTACTCCACGTACTTCGCAGCCTCCTTCAGCGCCATGCCCGCCTTGCTGCGGTTGCCAAAGTCCGCCTTGCTCTTGAGCGGCCCGTAGCTCACGTCCTTGCTCTTGAGCGGCCCGTAGCTCACGTCCTGCTCGCAGTGCCTTCTCTGCCACGCCGCCAATGCCCGCGCCTTGTTGGACGGACGACGCAGCGGAGACCTCACCTTTGGACCCGCTGAGGGCTGCAGCGGGCCATAGCCAAGGTCCCTCGCCTCCAGCGTGGACGTGAAAGGTGACCACGTTGTCGCCATTCAGGTAGTCCTGCTCGAACTGCTGGACTGCGCCTCCCACGGAGCCGAGGAGCTCCGCCGAGAGGACAATCACCACCATGCACTGCCTCTGCTGGCTCTCGCCGACAATGCCGTTCCGAAGTGCGTCGACGAACGCGGAAGTCCTGCCCCCCTGGGCCCTGCCCACGATGGCGCGCGCCGCGCGCGCGCGCCCCGCGCGGGGGGGGCCGTCTCGCTCCCGCCGAAACGGCTGGACTATGAAGGAGGAGAAGGATGACAGGATCATGGCGCCAACCTCGCAGAGCGGATTTCGTTCGGAAGACGATAGGATGGGCCCGGAGTGTCCCGGAGAATCTCGTTCCGGATTTCGAGGTGCATTTCGTGCGGATTTTTGCTGGACCAGGAATGAGGACTAAAACAAATCCACGCGAAATTTATTTCGCTTTCCACTCGTCGTTTCGGGTTTGCATTGACAGAAAGCCGCGCAAAAATCCGCTGCAGCACGTTTGTAAGGTCGGTGCAATGCAAAGGATAATGGATGGGGCGATGATGAGTAAGTAGCAGCGGAAGGGCAATGAGGCAGGGGGGAGGCGGACGACGAAGAGGATGAGGAGGATGATCAGCAACAGTACGCGTAGGATGAGGAGGCGTCCGAGGAGTAGAAGTGGGATGAGGAATCAGGGAGGAGCATGAGAGGGGAGAATGATGAGGGAGAGGGGGAGGAGGACACGCTGGTTGCGCTCGCGCCATATCTGGCATTCTAGCCCTCCCACCCATC